GTACTAATATGATTGTATTTTGATGTTCTACTATAATGTTGTCTTAATACTGCTCTGCTGTTGTAATACTATGCAGTTTAGTGTCAATAATTGTATTGGCAATGTGGCCTCTTTCTGCACACATACAAACCAACCCCTGCCACCATCTTCTGCCACAGCTCCATTGGTCTAATGGTCTATGTCATGGACTTTCATGTGGGAGATCAGGGTTCAAAACCAGCTAATGCAACTTTAAGAAAAAATCTCCTCCAACTTCATATTGTCACACAATTACCTTAATTACAAACACCTGCTGTGACAGACACAAGCTGGTTTAGAAAACACATTTGAACTTGGTCAAAGTTCATTCTACAAGCCCAATGCTGCAGGCAAAACCATGCTGCAATGACATGCTACATGGCACTGCACACTTGTTTTTACATTGTAAAAACCCATGTCTAGTTGAAACTGTCTCACTGTCGTCTTTCTGAAACTTCTGATTTCAAAATAAAATCCACGTGAATCATGTGTGTACACATGTGCTTCATGCTACATGTTTCCATCTGCTTCCCAAACAGAACCATACATTCTGACAGCATTTGTGTAGAAATATATCCATATATTGGTTAACAGAGCTGGGATTTCGACAAAATTAATCCGCTTTTTGGAGACTTACTCTGAAAATGTTGTTCTCGTTCCTTTTCCTGTTGATGCGACGTGATCTTTAGTCAGGAGTGCTTAATTAGTAGGCCTCCTCAGTATGCCATCAAGGTCTGCAGAGGCCTACTAACGAAGCACTGTTTAGGCCCAGCTGTGTTGAACCAGAGCAGAACCTGAATCCTGCAGGACACCGGCGCTGTTAGAGGCACGGTACCATCTGGGTCTCAAATCCATCGTAGGGACACAGAAAACTGATGAAAATAAAACAAGTTTACTGTATGAATTAAATTTGTTTTGTTTTTGTCTAAGTAGATGCCACTGTTGACAGCGGGTTCAGCAGCCAGCCAGTTGAAGAGCAGGAGGAGGAGACATCTATGGCCAATCAGTGACCAGGAGAAGAGCCTTGTAAAGGTCATGTGATCAGCAGATGTGTGACAGACTCAGCAGGTCAGAAATGTCTGACCTGTAGGACGTGAACGTTTCAGAACAACTCGTCTCCTCCAAGGACCTGAACACATGAAGCTGTGGTGGAAACTGAACAATGATTTGAAGAAATAACATTTGTACCACTTAAAAAACTGAAATAAAGTCTAAGGGTTTCACCTAAGGCCTGTAACATATCACGTTAAAAACTCTTTTTCAAACTTTTTCTTTTGCGTTTTGAATTAATTTATATATTTTTCCTTGTTTTTCTTTATTAAAGAGTTTTTGTTGTTGATGTCTGATGGGTTGTGGCAGCACCGCTGACACAAACACAGCTTCACTCACCTGGGACGTCTGGGACAGCAACAGTACCAAAATCCAATGTTTCATATTGTAAAAACTCCAAATAAAAATTAAAAAGTTCTGATGTTTTCTCTCTGATTTAGACCACAGAAATGCTGCTGAAGTTAAAAAATGAAAGCAGAGGTTTTGTGTATTTTCCAGGCAAATTCTATACCACAAGACTATAGATGTAAATTAACCTAAGGCTGAATCTGGTGCAATGCATCCAATGTTTTTATGTTTATGTTTTAATTTCACACTGTTCTGACCATAAATAAATAAATACAAAATAGTTAATTAATATTAAGAAGAAAGAGAGCAGAAAAAGATGAAACCATCTTAAATTCAACAGAAATCCTGGGAGGTTTCAGTTCAGATCTGATGATCTGTAATAAAAACTCTTGGAAGTATTTGTGTTTATAATTAGTCATGTTCTTTGTTCACGTATGTTCCTTGTTTGCAATAACATTTACAAAAATCAATAAATAAATAAACACAAACACTTCCTGGAGAGAGATGGAGACGAGGTTGACCAGAGGTCCCAGGAGGTTTCAGATAAACTGGCCGCCCACACTTACACAATCACTAATAAACAGCACCGTGACAACAAACAAACAAATAAATAAATAAATAAACAAACAAATAAATAAACAAATAAATAAATAAATAAACAAATAAATAAATAAATAAACA